ATTTTTATATATATCATACCCTCAAAAATGCCCAAAAGCTTATCTCTGACATCAGTGACATAGAAGGGAAAAGAAATTGAGGGGAAGACAGAGAGCGGGAGAACATGCTTAAGAGTTTTGTAGTACTGCGTATCTCCACATTCATGAGCTATTCTTTAGAAATGGAATGCCTTCTATTATTAAGTATGGATGTATTTTGAAAGGTGAAGGTGTATATTCTTGACCTGTGACGTGTGTCCTTACATCTGCATCTTTGGGGTGTCTATAGTTGAAGTTATTTTCTTTCCAGTTTGACTGTACACAGCCATAGCACCTCCCAAGTACACTGACTGCCAGGCAGTACTTGAGAGATGTTTTTAATTGATAAGACTATGCAAAAGACACTCTTTTCTGAAGTTGCATATCTCAAGTTACATTCTTTCTGGGTTTTTGCCCTTTGGAATAAGTGACCGGAAAGCAAGTACCTTCCCACCTGACCACAAAGTAACAGGATTTTTAGGCTTATGACAGATTTAAGGCTTAAACTCCTTAAACTCCAACTTAACTATGCAACACAAGCACCAATGTGAAGAATTTCAAGGAATTCTGAGGGAAAACATCATTCAAAGGACTCAATAAGCATTGTTATGTTTAGAATCTGCCTCCCTTAAATGCTGAATAATATGACTTGTATCTTACATCAGAGTGTGATACTTTCACCATGTACTGTTAAATAGAATTCTATATGAATGGTTCAGCAATGGCAGCTTCTCTGTAGGTATCAAGCACTTACATCAACTACAAACTATTACATGTGATATACATTCCTTTAGAAAATTAAATAGTACAGAAGCCTCAAAAATGTGAAAGTACAGAGGCCTAGGGTAGGAAAAAAAAGGAGGAGGACATCATAAAGAGTAAGAGACAAATGTTAACAGTGTCTCCTTCTAACTGTACCAGCAGCTCCTTGATGGCTCACACACAAAGTCCCTGCAGAACATGACATTAAAAAGACTCAGTGTTTAGAATCCTAATTATGAACCTACAAAGTTTCTTTATTGGCACTGTCAACAAATGCTAAATGTAAAATTCATCATATAATTTAGTTCTTGACATTCATGGCCAGGGTGGACAGAGCCTTGGGTGACGTGGTCTACTGTGAGGTGTCCTTGACTATGGCAGGGGGCTGGAACTAGATGATCTTAAGGTCCTTTCCAACCCTAACTATTCTCTGATGCAACTAATAGCATAAAAATACCAAGACTGATTTTCTTTGTAGCAGTGGATAATAAAAAATTTGTCCAGGAAGAATCAAATACTGATCAGTTATACTCTGGTGTCCTCAACCTAGGAAGGACATGGAGCTGTTGGAGCAAGTCCAGAGGAGCCCACAAGGATGAGCAGGGACTGGAGCACCTCCCATATGAAGACAGGCTGAGAACATTGGGGCTGTTCAGCCTGGAGAAGAGAAGCTGTGTGGAGACCTCAGAGCAGCTTCCAGTGTCTGAAGGGGGCTACAAGGATGCTAGAGAGGGACTCTTCATCAGGGACGGTAGTGGTAGGACAAGGGGGGATGGGTTCAAACTGAAACAGGGGAAGTTCAGATTGGATCTAAGGAAGAAGTTCTTTACAGTGAGGATGGTGAGGCGCTGGAATGGGTTGCCCAGAGAAGTTGTGAATGCTCCAACCCTGGTGGTGTTCAAGGCCAGGTTGGACAGAGCCTCGGGTGACATAGTTTAGCACGACGTGTCCCTGCTCACGGCAAGGGGGTTGGAACTAGATGATCTTAAGGTCCTTTCCAACCCAGCCCATTCCATGATTCTGATTCTATACCTCATACAAAAGCTATACAGAACTACTTCTGCACCAGTCAGCTTTATGGAAGTCTGTCTTTATGTAGGGTTTATGCAATGTTAAGCAATGTGTTGCTTAAATAAGTACAGCATTTAATATTCTGTACCTCTGCTTGTAATTACCTAGTAACTAAAGGCCCCAGTGTGATTTCCCAGAACTAACACTACATTCTCTATCAAACTATGCCAAGCTCCCAGTAAGCCAGTGACAAGGACTGTTAAAGCACTCAGCAATGGTACATATTTGATCATTCTGTATGCACACTAAGGCACACATGGTGGTCTGTACCATATCTACTATAATCATGCTAATGCTACTGCTTCTTAAACACCTAATGGACTAGTTTTCACATTTACTTACGTCTTAGTCTAAATGTTCCTGTTTTGTTAAACAAAATCCTGTATTTAATTTGTTTTTCCAATACATCCTAGTATTCTGCAAATCATTTCATAGATGTTAATGGATTCTTGTGAATAAAATCCCTCAACATATTTTCAGTTACGAATTTGACAAATAGAAACTCAACTTTGGACCAATAAGACTTGGCAATAATGCTCAGGAGAGCCTGACTTGCAGACTTCTATTAAATTCCTATGTCAGAGTGCTTTAGATACAGCATAGTTTGGAAATTAAGCTGCTGCATGCACAAGACTTATATGCCTAACATTCAGGTTCCATTTTTCAAATGAGAACATATACTCAATTTCTCTTCTACATTCAATACATGTATACAACTTCCATCAAAAAGTGCCTAAGCCAAATGCTAAGTTTCGCCAGAAAAGTTTCTATTGCACTTCATGGAATTAGTACTGATAGTAGTGCAAGGAAGTAGAGAGGACGGACAATTACATCAGGCCTAACATACACCCATGCTAAATTACATCTGTTGGAACAATACATTTGCTGTTCTATCTAGCTTGGAAAATAGTCTAGTTTTCTTTAGTGGCAATTTCCTTGTCAGTATAAGATCACTGATTTTTATCTGAGACAGATTTGGAGTAATCAGTAGTTTATTAGCTCTGCAGTGGAGCAGCAGCATTAAGAATAGAAAAAAGAGCAAGCTGGAAGTAGTGATTATATCTAGAATCACAAGAAAATGGTGATCTGTGCTGTGAAGCATTATCTCATAGTATGACTTTTAATATAAAAATATACATGGTTATGCTAAGGCAATCAGTGTCTTGAAAAACCTCCTTGAATCTTAGCTTTCATTTCCTTACTTACCAACACATCAACGTAGAGAACCCAGCAGTGCTCTCTGGGATTAATACAAAGTGATTTCAAGTCTACACTGTTCCCGCTGCTAAAAACTGTGTAGAATGTACTTGCTATCTCTGTGCCAAGTTCTTCTCCTCCCCGGCCTTCAAATTCAGGAGTAGCATTTGCAGAACTAGATAAAGAGAGCAAACATACTTTCACTTCTGAAGCAGCCAATATTCAAAGAACATTTCTTAAATATAAAGCATTAGAAGTATCTAAGGATTTCTTTGTACAAAAAGCACCCTATCTGTGAAGAAATTGTTTCTATTTTGCATAAGAAAATGTCTTGATGCAGATAATATACCCACATTTTGCTACAAACTCTGATGCTAATTAAATTTCACTATCTTCAGTTTAAGTTACAATACTGAGGTTGATGAATTCTATCAGGGATTATTTCTTAAGCACTGTCGTCTTCTATTACCTTAGCCCTTTCAAAAATAAAGAAGTGAGAGAAATCTGTATGAAGTTCAGAACAGCTAACAAGACAGCCTATTAGAGTTGAATGTTAAATTAATAAGAGGGTGGTAAGAGGAGAAAGATGTGATGATGAAACAAGTAGGATATGCTTTATTTTCCAAGCTCCACGACTGCCTGACCTTAATTGGTAATTTCTTTACAGAGTGTACTCTCTGCTATCAAGCTCATTATTTTCAGCAACTGTGGCTTAGGGAGAGCAGCAACTAAAATCCTTTTTCCCCAGAATCTGGAAAAAGAGAGGAATCTGGAAAAAGTGAGTGATTTTCACTTGCCCAATTCCAACATAATAACAAACTTTGTTTCTAAGCAGCCACGTAAGAAAGTCCTTCAGTGCTGGGGCCTTGTACACAGCTAAGAGCAAAATAGAACAATTAACAATAAACTATAACAGGCCTATAAAACAAAGTCTCCATCTCCACGTCACAGTGAAATAGATGAGAAATGTGCAGAGATACATATAAAGCAAATTAACAAACATTCTGAACCGAACCTCTGGTTTACAGTGAGGGCAAAAGCATTCTCAAGCAGTGGACTGCTGGCACACATGGCAGATCTTGATTTTAGATAAACTGGTCAGGCCTCCCCAGATCAACTTCTCCTTACAGAACATAAGAAAGGTGGTTATTGCATAGGAGCAGTTATGATACAGTCAAAATCTAGAATAGCAAAGCCTTGTATTCTCCTGGCTGGGCACCTCCCAGTGCCAGTTTTTCATGTACGTTTTCTGTATATATGATGATACACAATTTTAGCTCTTCCAACAGGCACGCTGCAGGAACACACACATACAGCATAAAACAAAGTCTTAGAATATAATCTCTTAAAGATCCACATTACCCAGGTATGACTTAAACCATTAAGTGAACCGTATCAACAAGACTGGGTTTAAACAGGGGAAGTTCAGGTTGGCTCTAAGGTAGAAGTTCTTCCGTGTGAGGGTGCTAAGGCGCTGGCACAGGGTGCCCAGAGAAGCTGTGGCTGCACCATCCCTGGCAGTGTTCAAGGCCAGCTTGCACACAGGGGCTTGGAGCAACCTGCTCTAGTGGAAAGTGTCCCATCCCACGGCAGGGGGTTGGAACTGGATGATCTTAAGGTTCTTTCCAACCCAAACCATTCTATAAGTCTATGTCTGCAGAGCCTATAAGCTTACATATATAATTACCTATTACTATTCTTGCCTCCAGGAATTACCTCAGAGCATTTCTCCCAACTTACTCTTTTGCAAAACTGACAAAAACTCAGAATGCCAAGAAGAGCTACTGGATTTTACAAAAGTTATTTGCTGCTACTATAAACAGACAGCCCTATACATGTTTTTTAAACAAATAAATTACTGCCTATCAGCCACTGACCTGTGCATCCAGACTACATGTGTCACACAAATAGGTACTACAAGTGTGACACACAATAATAACAGACACTAATTTTATAAGATAGGACCACATCTAAGTATAACTTACTTCTGGAAGCATGCCCAGTCAGGTCTTCAGGTTGTATTAAACAAGCACTTACTCATAGAAGCAGCTTTTACGCAAGTTATTCTGTTTAAAGTACAGTCACACAAGTATTATGATTCCTATAAGTTGAAAGGAATTATACAAACCTCAATCTATACCTCATTATTATTTCTAAACAAAGTTTTATCAAATGTTGTATTTTTTAATTATAAAGTCATACTTTCTTTGACAGTTAGAAGGAAGAACATAAGATTCAATTGGAATATCACTGCAAGTACATCTTAATTACATTATCATTTTAACACTTCAGTTCCTTGCAATCCAAGTGAAATAAGGAAGGGAAGTTAGCAGGGTACTATCATATTAACTATATGGTAAATACTGCCACCTAACGCTGACAGACTTGCAGTAATTTACACTGGATAACATTTGAAAAAGGGTTGTCTAGCACACGAGTAAGAGAAAAAGACAAGAAACTTGTTTTATAGAGCACAGAAAGAACTTAGTAGTGGCCGGGTAGAGCACAGAATTTCTACTCCCACAGAGAATGCAATTTTAAATACTTTCAAAACCATTTCAATGTCATGCTGCATAAGAATCAAGATTCCTGAAGCATAATGATGCTTCTACCACAGATCTCTACTGAATTTCGTAACTGTTGCTATTACCAGCCAAAACCTTTCTCTCAAAGTAGTTAAATACTCCCCATCTGTTGCTTAGGCCTTTAGAGAATCACAGAATCAATCATCAGGCCTGGAAGGGACATCTGGAGACCACCTAGTCCAACCCCTGCCAAGGCAGGTCACACAGGAATGTATCCAGCAGGGTTTGGAATGCCTCCTCTAACAGCAGGACTACATTTGAGAAGATCACCTTCCTGGCTGATATTTTTTAAACAGTAATCACAATCAAACCATTAACTCACAGGCAAGTCCTTCCCTCCCTCTACAATTTTCCACTGTTAGCTACGACCTCATAATGTACAGAAGCAGCCTTAGGTAAGGCTGCATAATGTGAGAGATACAAATGTGAAGGCAGATATAGCTAGTTAGGCTAGACTGATTACCAGATATACACTTGCTTAGCAGCACTCATACCTTAGCTTTACTAATGGTGTATTGGTTTAGTGTCAGAGTAGCAACATTTTTTGGTTTTAATAAAAATAAAAACATCATAAGCAACAGGGCTAACTTGACAGTGCCAAGGCTTTTGTGAGAGGTTCCCAAAGCACCTTGTTTCATAAAAACAGTTTCAAGAAGTCTGCAAGACGTGCATACGGTAGTTTCAGACAGCAGACAGTGTGGAATAACACTGAGATGTCACTATGCTACCTCAGAGCAACCTGAAAACAAGAACTCTCAATTTTAATCTAGCTTCCTTTATGACTCAAGTACTATGAAGACTGTAAAGCTAAACAGCAGTCCATTTGTAGCACAAAGCCTGGAATATGATTTAAAACTAATTCAATTTTAGCTAATGAAATAGTGATTCACCAATAAATGATATCTAAATGTTCTAATTCATTTTTTATCTAAAGTTTACAGTGAGAATTTTTCTTTTAAAACAAATGGATTTGTAAAAAACACTTCAAACTTTTTCTGCTGCTTTCACAGACAAAGCAAACCTTTAAGTACAAAATTGACTATATCAGTCAATTCTTTCCTTCTGGAATACTCCACTTTTGAAGATTTTCTGTATTCTATTCCTGTAAAAAGATAACTACCACTATAGTCATGAAGTCATGTTAAATGCATGTGTAATTGAACCATTACTCCTTTCCAGCTGCAGTGATGCTTTGCAATGTATTTTATTTTAATTTAACCTCTTTTTTTTACTCTTTAACTCCTACTGCTTTGCTTATTTTGGGTCTGCAGATCCAGCAGTTTCTGAACATTCACCACTGTTGAAACATTAAAATAACTTGTTTCTATTACTTAGATCCTTACAGAAGGTTAGTGGAATGAAGGTATAAGCTTCAGAAGAATAGAATTACTCATTTATTCCAAATATTAGATCTATTTCCTTCTCTTCTAGCATACTAACCAGTCAACACAGAATTCCAGGTAGCCTTCATCTGGTTTCTCTATCTTTGGTGTCCCCATTTCAGCTTTTACTCCTACCAAGATATCGGTGTTTCCCTGTTAAAAGAAAAACAAAACAACAACAAATTACACAACTGAAATTACAGTCACAGAACTACTCAATTTAAATGCCTACAGTAAACTGATACTTATACCTTTTAATTATCTACACTGATAATTCTATCAGAATGCACTAAAAATAACCTTAGGTTTTGAAAAAAGAAGAGGTTTTAGAAGGACAATGTTAAGCCTAAGAAGATTCTTCAAATATTAGCTTTCTCTAGGTTAAAAAGACAATCTTACTTGTTCTGGAAACAGCTATTTCTGCAGAACCTTTATAATACTGCACAGTGTGTTTATCTTCTTCACAGTCAACACATGCCAGAATTAGTTTTGCTTCATTCGAAATAAATAGAATTATCTTTTTTTTTCAGGGATAAGGCACAACAGCGATTTCAGTTTTCAAGATTAAATGCTAGATTAGTTCAGACTGAAGGCTGTCTGGCTACTTCATAGTAAATGGAGCTCAAGCAGGTTAAGCCAGCCCAAATGATTTATGTAACTCGGCATTATTTCCTTAACCCAAGAGTTTCAGTTAGTGCTATACACACACACATATAGCCTCATCTTAACTCAAAACTAGTCACATAAACCAGAAATTTCACCAGCAAAGTACACAATCCCTAAGGAATTTACCTACCAGCTTTACTCTTGCAGATCCACTTGTGTTTGATACAACATCTGTTTCTACTTCTGCACATCTGTAGTCTTCACAACCACGACCATCTACACGAAGATCCTCCTAAGTATAACAATCAATATATTGTGCTTAAGGGAATCAGTAATGAAAAGAAGAAAACAAAGAACCTGTGCTTTTAAGGTTTCTTTTTCCTATGCCAAACACAGCAGTAAAAAAAGGATATAAAAGCAACAGCTCTAGCTTCTCACTTAGGAATGCAACAGAACCAACTGTATGTTTCCATTTAACTCTCATTTATCCAGAGCTTGCAACAAGCTCTCTGCAGACAGATAGGAACTCCTGCACTAAGTCACTTTAATACCAAAAGAATGCTTCAGACTGCAAAACTGTAAAGGTCTTGGCTTTAAAACACACTTTACCTAATACGACATGTGTTTTCCCAGTACACCTAAGTTCTATACTTTTATATCTGTATTTGGGCCCAGCAAACAAAAATAACCCACCAGCCTTCCAAATGTTTTGACTTATTTGTATTTCAAAAACACGTATTATGCACCCTCAGAAACTATACAGCCCATTCCTACTAAAACAGTTTTACTTGCAGTAAAATACAGTTCCTGTCCTTTGCAGAAGATACAGTCCTTTCATCTTTAGTACTGCTCCCCACGTGTCCTTCACTTTTCCTCCTCAGTCCACACACTGTTCCTTTGTTCAGTGACAGGCTAAAACTCTACACAACAGCAAAAACTTGAGAAAGAGCACAGAAAGCCAGGGAGAAGAGGAGGACAACACATGAAGAAACAAACCCCCGTCCTGTTCCCAGCCTGCTTTCCATCCCGATGCTCTGTTCTCAGTGTGCTTGGGTAATTCTACACCTTCCTACAAGGCCTGTAGTGACAGGACAAGGGGGAACGACTTTAAATTGAAAGTGGGTAGATTTAGATCAGACATTAGAAAGTTTTTTATTGTGAGGGTGCTGAGGCGCTGGCACAGGGTGCCCAGAGAAGCTGCGGCTGCCCCATCCCTGGCACCGTTCAAGGCCAGGTTGGACACAGGGGCTTGGAGCAACCTACTCCAGTGTGAAGTGTCTCTGCCCATGGCAGGGGGTTGGAACTGGATGAGCTTTAAGGTCCCTTCCAACCAAAACCATTCCGCAATTATCACCCTGGAGATTCCCTCCCAGACACCAGGTAACGGAGAGCTTCCTCCCTGCTCCCCATTCCACACAGGGAGCAAGCGCGGGGAGGGGATGGGCCCTGCCCCACGCCTCCTAAGGGCAACAACCCGAAGGACATCCCAGTCCGCGGGGCGCAGG